AGTAGCTATAAAAGACAAAACTGGTTGGAAATCTTAATAAAAATGATTAGAGAAAGAGAAGAAAGAAAAATGAGAGAATGGGAGTCAGGGATGGCCACAAGAGCTGACAGGAATAAATAGAATAATACAAAAACACGAGCTAAGTATTCTTGCTGAGGCCTGAAGCAGTGACCATGAAAAACACAAGCAGCTCTCAGAGGAGAGGAAAAAATGCTTGTGCATAGTGGAGCTCTGCAGGGTGGAGATACACATTCCTGTTCCTAAGGAGGACGCCGTGTGTGCCCCAGGAACATACACCAAACGGGGGACTGGAGTCCCAGCACTTTGGTGGCCAGTAGAGGATGCCTGGAGGTACACTCCCGCCTCAGGTTTCCTACAGGGGGCGGCTCCTGAACCAAGGTCAGTTATTGACAAGGTCACATTTTATTCTTTATTCTTAGCTGTTTAAGCTATGAGATGTTATTTTTATCCAAAGAAACATCTCATTTTCATTTTTCCTCATTTTAATTTTTTTTATTTTTTTAAATTATTTTTTTCAACATTTATTTATTTTTTGAGAGACAGAGAGAGAGCATGAGCAGGGGAGGTGCAGAGAGAGGGAGACACAGAATCAGAAGCAGAGTCCAGGCTCTGAGCTGTCAGCACAGAGCCCGATGCAGGGCTCAAACTCATGAACCGTGAGATCGTGACCTGGGCCAAAGTCAGTCACCTAACCGACTGAGCCCCCCAGGCTCCCCTTTAATTTTTTATTCAAGTATAGTTGACACACAACATCTCATTTTTAAATAAAATGTTTTGCTCTATGAAGTCAAATAAGCCAAAATGGTGGCTCACGGGATAAATTTGTCCTGAAGACATCTTTTATTTGGCTTGTTTCAAAGGATTTGATTAATTGATTTTGCATGAAAGTCTTGATTTCTGGCTTTCCTAGAAAAAATGTTAAGCTTTGGCCACATTGGTAAAAAGAAAGCCACTTCTGGCTGCCTCCTTCTTCCTTGCACGGAACCTTATACACCACAGGAGGGAGATGTCATTTTTGCTGCACTTGGAATTTTGACAGACTATCTTTGAAGTTTGCTTTGCCTCATTTTGCAGTGATAACATTCAGCAATATCTGATGACCAATAACGTCCCAGAGGCAGCCTCTACTCTGGTGTCTATGGCGGAACTTGACATCAAGCTTCAGGAATCATCTTGTGCTCATCTTCTTGCTTTCACGAGAGCCACTGTTAAATTCTGGCATAAGATCCTCAAGGACAAACTTACAAGGTAAGGAATTCACCTGTTATTTCATGGTAGTGCTTTCACATGGATATTCGGTGACCATTGTATTTTACTGAAATACGTGTGTTGCTTTTTCTGTTACAGTGATTTTGAGGAAGTTTTAGCCCAGCTTCACTGGCCATTCATCACACCCCCCCAGTCTCAGACTGTTGGCTTGAGTCGCCCAGCAGGTGCCCCTGAGATATACAGTAACCTGGAGACACTGTTTTGCCAGCTTCTGAAACTGCAAACCTCGTATCTTTGTTGGAGATAAAACTTACTAAAATTGCTTTTTTTTTCGAGAGTGGATTTGTGGCTAGAGAGTAAAACTTTTTGAAAGGGACCAAGAAGCCAAACAGTAGTACTAGGTTTGGACTTGATCTGTATATACCCGCAGAGTGATGGATTGTGCCCTTCAGAGTGAATAGCGTTGGGGGGAGCAGGGTCAGTCTGAAATATATGACTGACCCAGGTTTATATCACATGTAGGTCTCTTGGGACGACAGAAAAAAAAAATGGGCAATAGGGAGGAAAGTTTAGTAATCTAGTGTTAATAAAGGAATTCTTGATTGTGTTTCCTTCCTCACTACTGTTTTTTATGTTAGGAAAGACAGGGTAATTCTAATAACATATTTCATGCACTTTTTATGAAATCATATGCAATGTAAAATTATGTCTTATAGTTAATTTTACTTAGTATCTTATATATTTGTTAGAAAAATATATTGTGTATCTGTACATACATACACGTGTGTGTGTATATATGTGTATATATCCATATATCCATGCATATATATTGTTTTTCCTTTTCTTTTTCCTTGACTTGACTATCTCAGAGATGAATTACTTACTGAGCCAAAACAACTTCCAGAAAAATACTGTCTTCCTGCATCCCCGTCTGTCATCCTGCCCATCCAGATTATGCTGACTCCCCTTCAGAAAAGGTTCAGGTATCACTTCCGAGGGAACCGACAGACTAATGTTATAAGCAAGGTGTGCTTTGCCAACTCTTGTCCTTCGTTGTTATTAATAGCAGTTGTTAAGCATCCCGATCCTCTTTCTGGTTTAAGTTAAAATCCGATCCCATTCACATTTCTGTTTTTTCTCTGAAGAGCTAAATTCCTGTTTTGTCCTTGCCTTAATAGATCTATTTTGGGACTTGTGTTGATATGCCATGGGACTCCGCTCACTCATTAGCATGTCATCTCACCAGTGTCTCAAGTTGCCCCTTGGGTGTGCTGTGACATTTGTTGGGGGCACTTGTGACAACTGGCTCCACGTGTTTCACTGTGCGAATTGCTCCTTCAGTCTTATATATATATCAGAGAGAGATGTGAAAGTCCACAGATAGTCAAGTATTCGCTTTTGAACAGAGTGCTGATGCTACCATGATTTATGGCTGAGGTGCCTGGGTGGCTCAGATCACGCTCTCACAGTTCAAGCCCCGCATCAGGCTCTGTGCTAATGGTGTGGAGCCTGCTTGGGATTCTCTGTCTCCCTCTCTGCCCCTTCCCCACTCGTTCTCTCTCTCTCTCTCTCTCTCTCTCTCTCTCTCTGCCTCCCCTCCTCCCTCCCTCCCTCCCTCTCTCTCTCTCAAAAATGGATAACCATTTAAAAAATAAGTGAAAAGCTTTAAAAAATTTTAAAACATTAAATGATTTGTGTATGTACAAGAAAGTAAGGAATGATGGGGATGGCTTTGAGGAAATTCTCACCATCTCACCAGCATTTTAGCTGAGGGATTACAGCCATATATGTTGGAGATACTCTGTTTTTTGTTTATTTCTTTTTTTTTTTTTTTTTTTTTAGAGAAAGAGGTGAGTGAGTGAGGAGGAACAGAGGGACAGGGGGGCAGGGGAGAGAGAGAGAGAGAGAGAGAAAGGAAGGAAGGAAGAAGGAAGGAAGGAAGGAGGAAAGAAGGAAGGAAGGAAGGAAGGAAGGAAGGAAGGAAGGAAGAGAGAAAGAGAGAAAGAAAGAAAGAAAGAAAGAAAAAGAAAGAAAGAAAGAGAAAGAATCTTAAGCGGCTCCATGCTCAGTGCGGAGCCCAATGCGGGGCTTGATCCCAGGACTCTGAATGACCTGACCCAAAATCAAGAGTCGGACGCTCAAATGACTGAGCCACCAGGTGCCCCTATATTGGAGATATTCTTGAGATTTTTCTTTAACTTGACCAGAAAAACAATCAGGCATTTGTTTTTAATGAAATTTGATTGAATTCATTGAGAATTAGAACTCTGTTGCCAGGGTGTGGAGACTACCTTATTTATCCTTAAGTTTGCTACATTTAATGCAGTGCAAGTAGCAGAGTGGTTCATTTCAGTGTTTTGAATTATATGTTATTGCACCAGGCTTACCCCAGGCGTTGTATGTGGCATTTATAAATGAGTTTATGGGCTTTATAGAATTTTAAAGAGGTCAAGGGATAGGGAGTTATGTTTGCACGGGAAGGAGTTGAGTGGCAATTGCATTTCTGGGTCTTAAATTCAGTTTATTCTATTGTACTTTATGGATCTCCTCCTTTTTTGGATGAGGTGCTGGTGGAAAGAAGAATAGAACCAATTAGTAAGTAGTGAGATAAGGCAATAAACCTACAGCTGTAGAGAGGCAGTAAGAATTTGAGGTTAGAAAATTGTGAGTTATGTTGATTCCTTTCTTTTTTTAAAATTATTTTCTTAACTTTTTAAAAAATATTTATATTTGAGAAAGAGAGAGAGGGAAGGAGAGACAGAGTGAGTGAGGGAGGGGCAGAGAGAGAGGGAGACACAGAATCTGAAGCAGGATCCAGGCTCCAAGCTGTCAGCACAGAGCCTGACATGGGGCTCAAACCTACGAACCCCAAGATCATGACCTGAGCCGAAGTTGGACACTTAACTAACTGAGCCACCCAGGCACCCCATGTTGATTCCTTTCTAAAGTACATTTCCACTCTGTCATCAAGCCTAAACTACACAGCCCCTGAGATTAGGGATGCCCCTTACTCACTTTTGTATTTCTAGCATCTAGCACATAACAGGGATTTACCCTCAGTAAATGTTTTTGAATGCCTGTCCAACAAAACTTGGAAGGTTTGTAGAATCATCTCTAGGGACAATTTAAAAAGCTGCCTATTTACATTTACTTTTCTATGATTTTACCTGTTTTAAGGCATATTTTTTTCTTACTTTACCTTTTGAAAAGACAAACCAGAAGAAAATCAGGTTTAAAAGTTATTTTGGAATGTAATTTACAAAAAAACCAAACACAAAACAAAATTAAAGGCCATCAGTTCTTTGTAATGCTCATCATTTTACATATCTCCAAAGTGCTATGTTTTCAACACATACAGTATTGTAAATTTATGAGTTTACTGACTTATGCCACCTTTGGGAATTTGTTGGGAGTACATTGGGAAACATCTGATTAAAGTTCAGAGCAGAAATTGTGTTCTTTTATAAGAATCTTCACCTAATTTGTGTAAGTGCTATGTGTATACAATTAACTAGAACCATTTAATTGTAACTTTCTGGTCAGAATGACTTAAGAATTCAGACTATTTTAACTTCCTTCCTTAGCCTGAATGGTACTTGGCTCAGGTACTTATGTGGATTGGGAATCACACTCAGTTTCTGGATGAGAAGATTCAGCCAATATTAGACAAAGTAGGCCCTTCGGTAAATGCAAGGGTAAGAAACTGTGTTCTTAAATTGTTCCAGTTTTAGAGTTGTGTGTGTCCGCGAATAATCTGTCATTTACCTTACCTCCTGCTTACATGTTTCTTTCAGCTTGAATTTTCCCGGGGCCTCATGATGCTCGTTCTTGAGAAGTTAGCTGCAGACATCCCATGTCTGCTCTATGATGACAATCTCTTCTGTCATCTGGTGGATGAGGTGCTTTTGTTCGAAAGGGAGCTGCACAGTCTTTATGCCTATCCCAGCACTTTTGCCAACTGTATGCATATTCTGTCAGAGGACACTTGTTTTCAGAGGTGGTTGACTGTGGAGAGAAAATGTAAGTGTTCAGTAGCCATCAAGTGGAGAGCATATTATCTCCTTTTGTGTATATTAACTTTTGGTGTTTTTCTCCACCCGCTCTGGGTAGAAACTAGAGTCATCTGGATTTTTCTTGGTTAAGGTTTACCAAGTTGCCTTTTCTTCCCATCAGACCAGTTTTTCTTGTACTTGCACCATCCACGTTTCTAGAATGGAAGAGTCAAGCCAGTATAGGATACAGCTAACTGTTTTATAGATTGTACCATAGTACTTCCTGTTCTTTGTAGTGTCTGTTGGATGTAGCTTGTCTCATCAGTTTAACTATTTTGAAGATTTTGGGTAGGGGTGGCGGGGAGAAGTAGGGAATCTTGTTCAACCCTAACACAGAGCGTGTTAAATATAGTGCAACCGGTGGGAGGTTGTAGATTTGGTTTTTTGTTTGTTTGTTTTTTACAGAAAAACCATTACTCCTAAAAACTTGTGCTGAAAATTAAGAATGACTGTAACTACTTAATTGACCTGTTCCCTTTTTCTGCATATCAGTTGCTCTTCAAAAAATGGACTCAATGCTTTCATCAGAAGCTGCTTGGATATCCCAATATAAGGATATCACTGATGTGGACGAGATGAAAGTTCCAGACTGTGCAGAAACTTTTATGACGCTACTCTTGGTTATAACTGGTAAGTATAAGTCTTTCAAGATACAACTTTCTTTTAGGTAAGCTTTTTTTTTTTTTTGAGAGAGAGAACGAAAGAGAGAGCGAGCGCATGCGTGCACACAAGTGGGGGAGGAGCAGAGACAGATAGGGACAGAGGATCCAAAGTCCAGGGCTCGAACTCACAAACTGTGAGATCATGACCTGAGCTGAGGTCAGACGTTCAACTGAATGTGCCACTCAGGCGCCCTGAAGAACTCGTGCTTTTTAAAACATTTTCTATTTGGGAAATTTTCAAACATACACAAAAGTGATTGTGATACCATGAAGCCTCAAGTATCTGTTATGAAAGTTTAAAACAATGATCACTTCTATATTTTTTTCTCCTAGAGTATTTTAAAGAACATTTCAGGCATCTTATTTCACCTGTAAATTCTTAAGTGTATAAGTCTTCTAACCTGTCATAGTTTCTCCTTCCTTTAAAAAAGAAGTCATTTTTCTGGGGCGCCTGGGTGGCGCAGTCGGTTAAGCGTCCAACTTCAGCCAGGTCACGATCTTGCGGTCCGGGAGTTCGAGCCCCGCGTCAGGCTCTGGGCTGATGGCTCAGAGCCTGGAGCCTGTTAACGATTCTGTGTCTCCCTCTCTCTCTGCCCCTCCCCCGTTCATGCTCTGTCTCTCTCTGTCCCAAAAATAAATAAACGTTGAAAAAAAAAAAGAAATTTATAAAAAAAAAAAAAAAGAAGTCATTTTTTTGTTGAAGAAATGGGGTGATTTTTTAAAAAGTTTTATTTTTATTTATTTGGCGGGGGAGGGGCAGAGAGAGAGAGAGAGAGGGAGAGAGAGAGAAATCCCAAGCAGGCTCCGCACCATCAGCACAGAGCCTAACACGGGGCTCCATCTTATAAGCTGTGATATCATGACCTGAGCTGAAATCAAGAGTCAGGTGGACACAACCAACTGAGCCACCCAGGTGCCCTGAAATGGGGTGGTTTTTATATGTACATGATGAGGTTTTGGGGTGATGGTGGGGTTCGGAGCTGACGGCCAAGAAAGAATTCTTGAAGATGTCTTTGGTGCAAAAAGGTGATTTTATTAAAGCATGGGGGCAGGACCCACCTCCAAACCCCACCATTACCCCAAAATCTTATCATACAGCTCTGTGACTTACAGTGGAGCTACATCCTGATGAAGGTATCCTAAGTTAAACATTTTAAGTCAAAAATGCGTTTCATACACCTAACCTACTTTATAATAAAATGTTGAATATCTCCTGTAATTTATTAAATACTGTACTGATAGTGAAAAACAGAATGGTTGTATGAGGACAAAATGGCTGTAAGTGCATTGGTTGTTGACCCTCATGATCCCATGGCTGATGGAGATATGCCGCTCTCCCGCTGCCCAGGATCATGAGAGGGTTGTATCCCATATTGCCAGCCTGGGAAGAGATCCATATAAAATATTCAAATAATTCCTATAAATGTGTATAGCTTTTGTACCATTGTAAACTTGAAAAATCTTAAGTTGAACCATAATAAATCAGGGCCCATCTATAATTTCCTTATGCCTTTAAAAAATTAAACTGTGGGGCGCCTGGGCAGCTCAGCTGGTTAAGCATCTGACTTTGGCTCAGGTCACGGTTCGTGGATTTAAGCCCCGCATCTGGCTCTGTACTGACTGCGTGAAGCCTGGAGCCTGCTTCAGATTCTGTGTCTCCCTCTCTCTCTCTGCCCCTTCCCTGCTTGAGCTGTATCTCTCTCTCTCTCTCTCTCTCTCTCTCTCTCTCTCTCTCTCTGTGTCTCTCTCTCCCCCCCCCTCAAAAATAAACATTTAAAAAAATTGAGCTGTAATTTATATACAATGGAGAACATAAATCTGAAGTATACAGTTCAGTGAGTTTTGACAAGTACATATACTTGTGAAACCTGCAACCTTGTAAAGTTTAGAAATAGATCCGTGCTTGGATGGTCGATTGATTATTTGACAAAGGTACCAAAGCATGTCAATAGGGAAAACCTGTAACTGTGTCCTGGGCAGAAGCAAAACTTTCACATGTCTTGTTAACTTTCTCCACAGACAGATATAAAAATCTTCCCACAGCTTCCAGAAAGCTACAGTTCCTGGAGTTACAGAAGGACTTAGTAGATGATTTCAGGATACGGTTAACTCAGGTGATGAAAGAAGAGACTAGAGCTTCCCTTGGCTTTCGATACTGTGCAATTCTCAATGCTGTGAACTATATCTCAACAGTACTAGCAGACTGGGCTGACAATGTTGTAAGTTAATGTGCTTTTATTTATTTACTTATTTATTTTAACATATATATTTTTTAGTTTATTTACTATTTTTTAAAATTAATCTCTACACACAATGTGAGGCTTGAACTCACAACTGGAGATCAAGAGTCGCATGCTCTTCCGACTGAGCCGGCCAGGTGCCCGCTAATGTGCTTTTTATATTAAATCGTAGATTTTTCAGTTTTAGTTAAACAGTTTTTTGTTAGTAGTATTAACAGTTTTACCTTTTGAAACTTTGAATTTACAGCAAGCAGAAATTACACATTAGTAGAATAACAATTAGGCCAAACCTAGGGGGTGTGATTAAATTACATTTTTTTCTCAATTCGCAAATAGTTACATAATCCCAATAGTTTAATCATTGGAAAAGAAAGCCAACGTCTCATAAAATAGTGGTCTATAGAATGAACCTTTTTCCTCTTAATTAGACTTTATCTTGGGAAATATTCATGTATGGTAATTGCCATCTCAGAAAAAGCTAGGATTGAGAAATGGTGTCAAAATCCATAAAATCCAGGACTTTAAGGAAGATAAAATAACACCATCTGAGGGGCACCTGGCTCGCTCAGTCGGTAGAGCCTGCGCCTGTTGGTCTCAGGATCGTGAGTTCAAGCCCACATTGGGGTAAAGATTACATAACAAAGTAAAATAAAAGTAATAAAAATAACATTTGATACCCTTTGAATGCCTTTAAAACATGAGTAAGTAGAACAATAAAATGAACTCCTATGTTCCTGTCATCCAGCTTCTTGTACCAATTTTGTTTTATTTAAGCCTCTTCTCCACATCCCACACTTGATTATTTTGAAGATCTTAAGGTATATTTCATGATAAATATTTCAAAATGTACCTCTAAAATAATTCCTTAAAAAAAAAAAAACACCCATAACCACAATACCATTATCACATCATCCAAGAAAGTTAATTTCTTATAGTGGGAGGTGTCTTAAATAAATCTAAAAATCAAAACCTTGGGTCCAGTTAGCAAGTACTGTAAGGCCTTTTGCCTCCAAGAATTTTATTTATTCTTCCTTTCTCCACACACATTCATTTGGTCTGCCTAAATACAATTATTAAATAATTTCTGTTTATTCTTTTTATTAATCCAAGACTATACTGGTTTTCAAGGCTTTTGCTAACCAGATTTTCCAATATGTATTTCTAGCCAAAAATGAAGAAACTTAATTAGCCTTTAAAACTTTAACATAGATTAATTCCTTTGATGTTGTTTAGGTATTAGAATGACCTCAGAGGAGCTCCAGGAACTTCTTGGACAGGGTGCTCTTGGGTTTGGAATCACTATTCCCTGATCATGTGTATAGATACAGAAATCAGCTTGGGTTTTCACCACTGTGCCCCATGAAGTAGGTTTCATGACAGAAAGTATTAACAGAGAATTTGCATGACCATAAAACAGTGAAGTATACATTAAATGGGAAAAAAAAACCAAACTGTACTAAGGTACATTGTAAATGTAAAGTATTATATGATTGTGTCATGAAATGAAAATAGGAAAGTAAAACAACAAAACAACTATAATGTTAACTAAAGACTTAATAATACCACTTTTTAAATGTGGTAGATAGGGGCGCCTGGGTGGCGCAGTCGGTTAAGCGTCCGACTTCAGCCAGGTCACGATCTCGCGGTCCGTGAGTTCGAGCCCCGCGTCGGGCTCTGGGCTGATGGCTCAGAGCCTGGAGCCTGTTTCCGATTCTGTGTCTCCCTCTCTCTCTGCCCCTCCCCCGTTCATGCTCTGTCTCTCTCTGTCCCAAAAATAAATAAACGTTGAAAAAAAAAATTAAAAAAAAAAATAAATGTGGTAGATAAAGTGGGAATTGAAAAATTCCAGGGTAGAATAATTCGAAAGCTTGATTAACTGAGGATTGGTGATAAGTTCATAGTATACTAGAAAACATAATTTT